CTCCACGTTGAACGCGGGTAAATGCTTTTCCGCATACCTTTTTTTTTTTTTGCTAGCGTGGATTCTCTAACACTACCAGGTTGAAGCATATGCTCCTTGGAAACGGCGAGCAATGTAGACTCAATCTACTCGAAATGTGCAAATGGGAACGACGAGGGAGAGGGAAGCAAAGCAGATCATTCATTTTCCTCCGCAAAGATATTGGATCCCCGTGCTGCGGGAAATAAGTTTCAATTTTCTCGCTGTCAGCTCTCGCTCTCTTGCACACACATTCATATCTTTTCAATAGTACCGGATTGCCAATGGTTTAATTGATTCTAAGGAAAATTGTGGTCCCATTCGCTGTCAATTGTATGGCCTTTGTTTCACTTCGGATACATTGAGTATAGATGGAGACTGTCAGGATCTTTTGACTAACTTGAATTATTAACGTTGATTATTCATCTGCAATCATCTGTAGAATATACTAGACATTAATAAATTCCATGATACCACTATGTGACTGCGAAAGACAAGTTCGATGTTTCAGAGTCCCTCATGAAACAACAAATGTCGAAGTTCCTCAAGAAACTCTTGATTTGGCAGGCGATTTGTTCGTGCGGAAAACGGCGCAAGCCTTTCGTAACAACTGCAACCGTAAATGGCCAAGTCTTCATGAATGAGTGCCTGAAGAAACGACTGATTCCGTTTCTCAAATCACACAATGTTCCACACAATTGGCTTACTACTTAACTAGCCTATTGATCCCCAGCAAATCGATTTACGTAACCCATTCCAGTCGAAGTTCTAGTACTACAAAAAAAAATTTTTTTGATTCACTATGAAAGTTTGACAGATAAAATGAGGGGTTCGTGGATTTTCTTATGTTTCTAGGCGTGCATCGATTAGCTTGGGACCGAAGAGAGTACCAGAGCTGAGCCAAAACGTTGAGCACGTTTATTCGGGACCTTCTAGTCTTAGAGTTACCTCTATGGTGTTACATTTCCTGACAATATCATGACAATCGGTTGAGAGACTTATTTTTGGCGAGTACTTCTAAGTGATGCAATTTAACTGTGGACACCCTTTGTATACATCTTGAAATTCTAGTCCACATTTCTTTGGAGTTCTTTTCAGAATTCTTTTGAAATTCGCTATAAGATACCCCCAAACTCGCCTCATAGTTATCATTCCCTAAATGTTTTCAATTTTTCTGAAATTACCGTAAAATCATGCTTACATAATTCCTTTAGAAAGCTCCTGCAATTCTCTTCAGATTTTTTTTTTTTTTGAATTCTCCTCAGAGCTACATTGGAATTCCCCTTAGTATTAATTCGATGCTCTCCTTTATTCTAGTGTTTCAGCAGGAACCAGAAAGTTTTTAGAACTACCTTTACAGCAATGCTTATATTTTTGTTGAAGTTCTCCTTAGCTACATTTCAATACTCTTCAGAATTCCTTTACATTTATCTCTCTTTATTCTCTCAATAACTGGCACATAAGTCTCAAAATTCTTCTGAAACTCTCATCGAAATACTTTAGATAAAGTCATAAATGATGGGTTTTCCTTGAAGTCCAAAAACCATGAAAATATTCCGATATTAGGTCAATATCGCTCATAAGGTTCAATAAAAAAAAATATGATTCTGTACGTCAACAAAATTTAAAATCTACACACAAACTTAACTTCAGGACTTGGATAATTAGCTGCAATCTTAAGGGCTGTCCCTAGGGGTTGGTCACTCTACACAGTGTGCCAAAATCAAACTTGGGCACACCCGGGCTCAGCCGTTGGCGGTGTTTGGCACCCATGGTTACAAAGTACAGTCAGCGCACATCCTATTGCCTGTCCGAAGAAGTACACAGTAAAAAAAGTTGTTGGATATTACATCGAAACTGCTACAACCAGGTCAATCCATCGGTTGTGTAATATCACATTGTATGATGTACATCGATTTTGCGAACAAAATTATATCCATTGATTTTGCTATTACATCATTATTTCATACATCAGCTTGAATTACGTTGATCGATATTACATTTTTTTTTTTGCTGTGTAGGAACATGAAAAAATCAGACCAATCGCTTGCATAGCAACACCACTGAATCAATCTCAGCATTACCGGCTCCAGATCCATTATTAAAGTTGTTTCTCTGATTCCCGTGACCGGAGGAAAGTACGTCCCACGAGCGAGCGGTTCAACCTTGAGCCAGGAGCTATGGATTCGGTCCGGGCGGGACCATTTGGACAGCTGTTTCGACCGGGAAGTCCGGTGCTGGTAACAACTGGGTCAAAGGACACTACGCCAAGGGTCCGAACTGGTGGACTCTGTGCTGGATGTTGTCCGTAAGGAATCCGAGGGTTGCGATTGTCTGCAGAGTTTTCAGCACTCGCTAGGCGATGGAACCAATACGAAACTATCGATTATAAATTGGCTCACTACTTGACTAGCCTATTGGTCCCAAGCAAATGGATTAACGTATCCCATTCTAGTCGAAGTTCTAGTACTACACTATATTTGTTTTTATTTGCTATGAAAGTTTGACAGATAAAATGAGGGGTTCGTGGATTTTCCTATGTTTCGAGGGGTGCATCGATTAGCTTGGGATCGAAGAGAGTACCAGAGCTGAGCCAAAAAGTTGAGCACGTTTCTTCGGGACCTTCTGGTCTTAGAGTTATCTCTATGGTGGAACCATAGAGGTAACTCTAAGACTAGAAGCACAAACAAAGTTACAGACGACTTTCTCCGAAGAAATTAATTAAAATAAGGTGGTTCTCTGTAATAGAATTTTAGACCACTTTCCGCCGCTCACCACCAGGTTCGCTAGTATTTTTGATTTGAATTAATTCAAGTTGGTTTTGTGTGCAATGATCTGGCAACTCGCGTTCTCACTCGCGTTGACGGGGTGCTGTTTTCTCACTCATCGAAGGAAATTTTGATTAGAGTGAGAAAGTAAGGAACAGTCAGCGCGGGAACCGTGTGCGGTACTATAGGTGCGGCAGAAAGAATGTAGTCGACTCCTTCGTTCTCACGGTGTTCTTACGCATGATCCAACGTTACGTCACACTAGATTATGCATAAGAACGTCGTGATAATGAAAGAGCAAAGTTTGTATGTTTGGGAGCCTCTCGCATTCAACTCGCATTCGTCCTCGAGTTCGTGTGGAAGCCATTCAGAGCGGAGGTGGCCAGGAGCGTGGCATTCGAAGTGGAACCGTTCCGACTCCACTGGTCGTTGGATTGGGGGAAGCCTGTGAAATCGCTAGCCGTGAAATGGAGTACGATCACAAATGGATGGAGTTCCTCTCGAAACGCCTGATGGACCAAATCTTCGCATCGCTACCGAAAGTCATCCGCAATGGCGATCCAGTTCATTCTTATCCCGGATGTATCAATCTGTCGTTTGCATACGTTGAGGGTGAATCGCTGTTGATGGCGCTGAAAGACGTTGCCCTCTCGAGTGGGTCGGCTTGCACTTCGGCTTCGCTGGAACCGTCGTATGTGCTGCGTGCGATTGGTACCGACGAAGATCTGGCTCACAGCTCGATTCGCTTTGGCATCGGACGGTTTACCACCATCGAGGAAATCGACTACATAGCTGAAAAGTGCATCAAGCACGTGACTCGACTCCGAGAGATGTCCCCGCTGTGGGAAATGGTCCAGGAAGGTATCGACATCAAGTCGATCCAGTGGTCGCAGCATTAGAGCGGACGGGTCGGGGCATATTTTAAAGAGAGATTTGATTTTGTATGTTCTGCTGTGTATGGTTGAATTCAGTGAGGGTTTTTTTTTAATTGTTAATCATTGATTGTGTTATTAACACATCCACTTTTGGTAGTAAGTAGGTATTGAGACCAGGGTTACTTCCACTCACTTGCTATAAAAAAATGTTTTTCAGAATTATGAAATCATGAAATAGTATAATGCTAATTAGTACTTGTAACTTACAAGAAGAGGTCATGAAGTATATGTTTGACACATAAAATCTGTCAATGTTGCTTTCAGTGCGTCACAATCAGCGATTTTACGACTCGTGAGCGCTCACTCTGAGTGAACGCTCACGAATCATAAGATCGCTGATTGTGACGCTCTGAAAGCGAAATTGACAGGTTTTATAAATCAAACACATACCGTACACCCTCTTCTTGTTACTTACAAGTACAACATATCATTAAAACATCTAATGTTTGCATAATTCCGAAAAATATTTTTTTATAGCAAGTGAGTGGAAGCAACCCTGATTGAGACGAGAGAAAAATAATGTATAGCTTTGCTACATATGCTATTAGAGACAGCAATAAATCTTAGACAGTGAAATCATTGTGAGTATTTCATCATTCACTTGGCGAAAAAACGTCCTATCAGCGATTGTTTGAAATAGTATAAACTTTGTTAGTTCCCGTCAAGGACGGCGTTGTTACGACTACGCTAAATTCGCAAATCTGAGGTATTCGTGGACTGCCATCTCAGATTTGCTTTGGCGCGGATTAGTTCCACTTAGGGTTAATTCAACTAAGTTTCGATTCTAATTATTTGAAGACTCCAGGAAAATCTACGTTTAGAAAGACCTTCTATTATTTAATAAAGAAGTAAAGCAGTGAAGTTATTAATAGTTGGTTGGGCAAGCTAAAATATCATTTAAAAAAATGTGTTCAATGTCGATAAGCTTTCCGCAAAATCCGCACTTCAAAAGCTATAAAACCGCACAAAATTTGCGACACTTGTAACAGCCCTGCAGTTGGCTTCGGCGTGCCAGAGAATACCTAATCCACCTAACCGGACCTGAAGAAACGGAAAGGAGCGCGACTGGGATTAGACGGGCTAGCCTTATGAAGCTCTCTACTGACATACAATATAGCATGGTTGCAGCAACCTTATATTTCACCTATTTGTCCCTAAAGATCCCTAATTTACACCCGACACCCTAGGTAGGATAATGTCATCGCAAATAACAACAATTCCCGTTGAATACATAGTGCGAAAAATGCTCTTGAATTACCCCAAACCGTCTCATCACAACCTACGCCTCGGTCAGCGTGGCCCGACCGATCGTTTTCGGCATCTTTTTATTGGTGGAATCCTCGAGCTCCTTCGGTTTGTAGTAATGCGGTGCCGCCTCCAGCAGCCACTTGCTTTCGATTTCAATCACCGACCGCATGTACTCCTTCGTCGTAAACACCAGCTCGTGGTACAGCACCCAACGAGGCAGTTCTTCGAACAGTGCCGAATTCGGATGGATCATCACCGTCTGATTGTGCTTGGCCGTTTTGTAGTGACCCCCCCTTGGAGAGCCGAGCGACGTGATAAAAGTACCCGGCTGTAATAGCCTTCCGGATGTTGGTCGTTTCCGGCAGACTGGAAACCATTTCGATTTCGACTCGCTGCATTAACCCAACCAGCTGCTCCCGGACATCGCGAGCTCGTTTCATCGAACGGAACTGAATGAAATTTTCGTAACACCACTGAGTGCTGTAGTCCGAGTCGGCCCATTGGTTGTAGACCTGCAGCAAACTCAAGTGGTCCCCGTGCATGTGGTTGAAGTTCTTCCGGGCCGTATCTGCGTGGATGATTTTATCTTTCGGTCGGTAGAAGATGGCTCCATTCACCGATAGCATTGCAGCGATGGCCACCACCTCCTCGGAACATTTGTACTTTTCACTAGCAAGCAGCATTTTTACCATCATGGGATCGACCGGAAATTCCGCCATCCGTCGTCCAAGTTTGGTCAGTTCACCGTGGTGATTCAATGCCCCTAGGGCGTAAAGTTGCTCCAATGCCAAAACCAACGTTTCATGTGGTGGAGGATCGAGGAAATCGAAATGAAGCAAATCGTTGATTCCAAGAGCTTTGAGCATTAGCACGGCATTGCCCAGGTTTATGCGCTGAATTTCCGGGACGGTGTTGTCTTCCAGCTCGTGTTTGTATGCCCAGGCTGTGTACAGACGAAAGCACTTGCCAGGGGCAACGCGCCCTGCTCGACCTGCACGTTGATTGGCAGATGCTTTCGATATGGGCACGACCATCAGGGTCTCCATCCCGGTTCTGGAGTTAAAATTATTTTGCTTTGCAAAGCCCGGATCGATCACGTACATTATGTTATCGATGGTTAGTGATGTCTCGGCGATGTTGGTGGCCAGTACGACTTTCCGGGTGTTCGATGGAGTTGGATCGAAAATTTTCGCCTGCATGTCCGACGGCAGATTGGCATAAATGGGAAGGATGAGTAGTTCCTTGAGTTTGGAACCCAACCGCTTGACGCGATCCTGGATCCGAAGAAGTCAACGATTTGATACGACCGGTTTGGCTCGAAGCAATTTTTCGACGGAAGTTTCTCGAAGTTTTCGACGGAAGTTCCTCGTGGCAGTGGAATATAAATGCCACGCTGCTGCATCTGCTGACTAAAGTCGTCCTTGTTGTTGCACAAAGGGCACTTGAAAAAGTACCCCGCCGATTGGGCAAACTGTGCCATGCAGCTTTTTATTGTACATTTCTCATATACCATGATTTTCGTTGTGATTTTATGGAAGGGGCATAGTGAATTTTATGAGAGGGGCATAGTGAACAAGTGGGGCATAATGAGCATCCCATGCCTCAGCTTGGTCTTCCGGCCGTTCGGAACAAATTGGTTGGTGGTAGCCTTATACATTTTATTAATAATCAGCAATGGAAATTTGCCAAAAGGTATAAGAGGATTTTTATCAGTGCTGGCATCGGTAGCATTGGTGCTCAGTACGGAAAACCAGATCGACGAAAAACAAATCAAAGGAAAAAAAAGAAATGAGATTAACAGAACTTTATCTGTACAAGTTCAGAAAAAGTTTCATATTTTTGAATTTCCTGCAGAGTTTTAAACTTTTTTCGAACAGTCCGCAATTCAAAAACCCAGTAAAACATTACTGGCTGGATTAATGTGTATATGTTATGTGCAGCTTAACTGCTGTAATATTCAACAACTTTTTTTTACTGTTTCCCTAATAAAAAACTACCATACATGAACGAAAACCCAAATAATAAAACTATTCAACAAATGGTTTGGATGATACCCCGAACACGTCGTTAAGCAAAATAACCATATCAATTTTATTAGGGTAGGTTTTCAATTTCAGATTGAATTCCAATTTCCCATTTGCTTCGACGTAAAAACTTGCCGCAGCTTGTTAACCGAGCTTGTGCTGCATAGGTGGAAGAGATTACTCCGTTGAAAACTTCATCTGCATGATAACTGGAAAGTTTGATAACTGGTACTTGTCGATGACGATGATCTCGTCTAATCAACCAATTCGACAGGGACATCCACTACCCGCACCCGTACCGGAAAATGTTTGGAATGATGAATAAGAAGAGGCTGAGCAGTCGAGGCAGCAAGAGACAAAAGCGTGACATCAAATCCTATGTCCCGATCGATTCGTACAGAAGTTTTAATGTGCCGCCTGTTCGGAAAGGATTCCCCGTGACATGAGCGAGCGTCACTACGCGAAGTATGCCGGCCATACCTATCGGGTTGATATCGATCCAGTGATCGATCTGTTCGACGAAACTACTGCCACGGCGATTGTAATCCGCTCCATGGAAGTGCAGCGGCAAGTGACGATCTACTGCGACAAATGCAACGTGCCTAAGAAATCGGCTTTCAGATTAGTATTCCACCGGTTGGTTTGGCAAACACGACCAGTACTCGCACTGTCTGGTTCTGCAGAATAATAAGAAGAAGCTGGAGCAGACAAAACTGATATCCGGCAGCTTGGGTGGATCCTTCCAGTTCCGCTACGGAGGAGTGAATGTATACCAGCATACCGAGTATGGCCGGGTTCTGTTTGGCGTCCAACAACGATGTCTATGTCTTCTCGGTCGCGAATGACTGTGACTTAGGCTTCTAGCACGGACTGAAGAAATCTGTAGCAACAATTGCAACAAGCGCGAGTCATTGACAGCTCAACATCGTTTACTTGTAAGCAAATGTTAACCCGATGTGTTCATCCCTAATCATTTTGGCCTATGGTCTTTCATTATACAAAAGAAGCGATATAATGACATGCTGTTTGACAACAGGCTCTCCCTTTCAATTTTCGTTAGAGAAAAAGAGATAACAGGCGGTACCCCCTAGTTTAATCTAGTACATATGAGTAGATAGTGTTGCCGTGAGGTACACTCGAAAATTGTAAATGTAAGTGCGTCAAATCAAATTTCGAGCCGCTCCGTCTGTCACTTCGTTTGTGCTAGAAGGTCCCGAAATAACATGCTCAACTTTTTGGCTCAGCTCTGGTACTCTCTTCGGTCCCAAGCTAATCGATTCACCCCTCGAAACATAGGAAAAACGAATAACCCCTCATTTCATGTGTCAAACTTTCATAGCGAATCAAAACAAACATTGCGTAGTACTAGAATTTCGACTAGAATGGGATACGTTAATCGTTTGCTTGGGACCAATAGGCTAGTCAAGTAGTGAGCCAATTTAAAATCGTTAGTTTCGTATTGATTGTTGGTGGAACTGGCTAAAGTAAATTTTAAATCTTTTGTAACGTTGGCGGAATTCAGTAGCAAAAATACCTTCCTCTTCACAGGCATGGGCACGCTACTGATCTCGAAGATTCGAGAAGAATACCCGGATTGCATCATGAACCCGGAATGAAGCGCATCCCACTGGCCAAAAAATACTTTGACTGTTTGTCCAATGCTTCCACCCGCCAGATGGCTCATGAAATGTGCCCTCTTCATGTGAGTTAAGGTAATTAAGTTGAGGTAATCTTTCTTTCGGAAACACTTGTCCGGGATCTCCAGCAGTAAATCTACTTTCAGTGGCTTGCCATAAGATGTTCCCAAATGACTGGATCCAATATGGTGCACGATCCGTTGCTGAACGAATTTGAAGCTTTCCTTGGCGAGAACATGCGAGCCGTCGGGAAATGCCAGCGGAAAATCAACCCCTTCTTAATCCACATCCTTCAAAGATCGTTCATTGTCCGCATCTTTTACCGTCCTCAAAAACTTCCGAAAATCATCCAACCAACGCTCAAAATAATTTAACACCTTGAATTTCACCTTCACCTCGCTTAGCATCTCTTCCACCTGCAGCCGGAACAGATTCAAGTGGTAGAAATATTCCGTTTCCTTCAACCGATTGATTTCCTCTACCGTCGGCGGTTTGTACAGCTGCTTAATGGCTTTGATCTTCCGTTGGTGTTTTTCTCGTGTGTCCATCGCTTGCAATGGCTTTACACTTAGCGCCTTTCGATTCCGAAGATCCGACAGTCATGACTAGCACAAAGTGTCTACCACTTTCTCGACCACTGTCGCTTTCCGGCTCCGGCCGCCCAAACTCGTCGTCGTCGTCAATAGGCTGTTTCTATGCACCACCAATGTAGAGTGCGCTATGCGCTTACTAGAGGAAACGTCAACCAAACCGTTTGTTTACATCTAAATTACAATTTTACATCTCCAATTAACGCATATTGTTATGCGTATCTTGCTTATTTCCATCGGGAGGGGTCTTGTTTTATTATTTTTCACATATTCGAACGGATTTACAGCTCAAATAACACCAAATTAAAAATCCGGAAGATCATAACCGCTGGGATAGTTTTATAAATCTTCGTTTTTCTTAACAAAAATATGTGGAAGCACCAGCCGTTCACTCTAAAATCGATACAGAAAACAAAATATTCCATTTGGATGTTAATTACAAGTACGTGCGATGGATAAACTAATCAGAAAAGTTAAAAAAAACATTTACCTCTTCCTATGCTTCACGGTGAAAATTTCAGTCCTCATCACTCTTTTGATGGTTCTCTTATTCACCACCAGAGGCTGAAACGATTGCTTAATTTCCATTCGATTCGCCTATTGAGTTCTCCGGTTTCGAAAAACAAAACAAAATCAAGAGTTGTTAAAATACCGGGTTACCAAACAATTCATTATTCACAACAAACACAAGTCAGTTCAATTACTTCTCGGCAATGCCGTGCCAGCTGCGGCACACTGAGAAAAAATTTGGCGCAAAACAAGTGTGTAGAGTGACCACCCCTTGGGCTGTCCATAAGCTTACGTAGTTAATAGACAGCCCCTTAGACAAAATTCAGGAATTTGTGAAATTTTAAAATCCTGAATAAATATTTTAAGAGGCAATCAGATAGGGTGGTATTTGTTTCTACCTGCCACCCCTGAGTCCCACGCCCTACAAACCAAGTTTACAAGTGGCGGTGAAGACAAATAAAAATATTTTTTCGATCTTCATTCCTTATTTACCGTCGGTCTCTGTTCCGCAATCTAGTGCCAATCACCGACGGACATCGATTGCCATCCATTGACGGCAATCGAATGTGCAGGAAGGCAGCTTCCACACCTGCGTAGGATATCGCACCCATTCACAACACACATGGGCCGGGACCAACGGCTTTACTTCCCTTCCGAAAGAAGACGTGACCAGAGATTTTCATGCCTCAGAAAAATCCCACCGACCTCGGCTGGGATTGAACCCAGACCCATAGGGATGTGAGAAAGCAGTCACGCTTGCCACTACACCACCGGCGCCGGCGAATTTTTTTTCGATCTGATTGAAGACTTTTTCTTAAACCTTCTGGCATCCCTGTCTCTTATCATGAAAATCAGTGTTACCCGCATTTCTTTTCACAAACATGTCCCATTCACAACAACCAACCTGAAAGTGGCATTTGATACGATGAAGTGATCAATCGGTATGGCATCACTGTTTCAGTGGACGTTTCTATATCGGAGAGTTGTTGAACAATCAACTGCAATACAACAAACACATCAATATCAATCTAGGTTAAATTCCGCCCAAGCACAAATCGAAAACTTTGATGGATCACTTCGCAAAATCAGAAAGCAAGTCACATCACCAGGTGCGTTGGCGGCGTCGTTTGCTGAATTTCACATGATAGGTTTTCTCTACCCCTCCCCCCCCCCCCTCAGCATCTTCCGGTACATATTGTGCTTTTCACAATCACACGCACACACGCAAGTCATCAATCATAGGAGCGTGCGGGTCCAGAATTGATAATCCCTTCGACGACGCCATAGCACGCGATGGAAATGGGAAACGCGTCGTCATATCACAGTTCATATGTATGCATGTAGGTCAAAGTTCACGTGGATCCACGTTCAAGCCGTGTGAAATTTATTGTGATCGCAGCAATCAGCGAATCGCCAGAGCCTGCTACGCCACGCAGCCATTTCATACAGCTTAACAACAATGTTGTGAAAACCTACACTAATGGGAATCAAATCGTGAAATTCATGATAAAATTAGTGTGAAGCAGTCAAACGATTCCGGTCCGGATCCCAGATGGGGGAACGAAAGCAAGAGAGTGTAATTGTTTTTAATTAATTTTGTACAGTGTGGTATACACGCAGTAGGAAAAGCTATCCTCTCTCGGAAGAAAAGTTGGTTGACACTAAAGCGGAAGCAGACACCGCACGAGAAGTGGTGCAGCAGGAAACGGATGAATAATTAATTTTCAATAGTGTTGTAGCTGTCGGGTCTCTATTGGCGAGGGAGATAGCTTGCATACGTATGTATATACCTGGAAGTAGCCGGAGATGTGCGGGTGTGGTAGAACTGGGCAGTGTTTCAACGCTGATTGGGAAAGCTAAGGATGAGTCCGACCGCTGACTGTGGTAAATGGCGATGGGAGCAAATGGAATTGGATTTCACTGAGTGTCTGCCGCTGGTTGCTCTCAAACGGAACTCATTTCATTCCATTGCGTGCTCTAGCGAACCCGGTCATAAACAAAATGAAATATGGAGACCACGATGCGATGGAAGGTGAAAATGAAAATTGAAACGAATATGCCAACGTTCGAGTGTGGTTGGTCCGGAGAGGTTCGGAGCTTTTGAATGGGATGCGAGTGGATTTTGATTATTATTCTACGCGCTGCTATTTGTTTCCATATTGATTAAAATAGGCCCTGTTTGCAGAACAAAAGCGTGATGTAGACAGGATTAATATGGGTTGTTGTGACTTAATTACCAGACTGCTGCTGGAATTAAAACATTATCCAAATTGGCGCACGGTATCCATCAGAATAGGAGGAATTGTGTTTGATATTGGAGGCATGGTTGCGTCGCTTCAAGAATGGGAATGTGGAATCAGCCATATTGTTTTAGCAAAGCTTATTGGTAATAATGTTGGGGAGGGAGAAGCAGACTCGAAAAATATGAACGTCAAAAGGAGCCACAATCAAGCTGTCACGAACTGTCATTGGGAGCCAAACAGTCTGATGGTGCCTTTCTTACAAGGCAATATTGAAATCTTGCGTGAATTAATGTATAACAAACTGTCATTTCCATTCGATGGGACACTGTTTTCTAAATTCATTTATTGAATATACTCAAATCAATATTGAATGATACCATTAACCAAGGTTTTTTGTCAAAATATTTTGTGTCATAAAAAATCCAGAACAGAAAAGAACATTTTCCCACTGCACACTGGAAAATCTCTGGAACAATAACTACACGATCAAAGCAAAAAAGGTGATTTTGCTACGCCTATTTTGATTTGATTTCAATGGCTAACATTTTCATGACAAGAACAACAGATATAAAATCAATTTGGTGTGTGCTGTCTGCTTTTCTCTCCCAGGTAATAATGAATGCTTTTAGGGGGCTTCAATTAATTTTCTTCTGACATATTTCCCTTTTGTTTCGATTACTGTTGCCTGTGTCGTCTGTTGTTGATTCGCTGGTGCTGTCCTCGATATTGTTGGTTGTTTTCTCGGGCTTGGTCTTCGATCTCTGTGGTTAGGCCTAGCCTCTATCGCGTCCACTACTTCAGGCTCCTCACTTTCGTTTTCTGATGACGCACATTCGATTCGATTCGTATTCTGATGACGCACATTCGCACTTCGGAAATAATTGAATTACTTAAGAATGCACTGAATCACTTCAGAAATGTTCGGAATCACTTCGGAAAACACTGAATATCTTCAGGGATTTTCGAAATCACTTCGTAAAGTATTGAATCATGTTCACATCGAAAAGTACTAAATCATTTCAGCAAGTACTGAAACACTTCAAAACATTCTGAATCACATCACAAAGTGCTAAATCACATCAGAAAAATTTAGAATCACTCCGGAAAGTGCTGAATCATTCCAGAATGTTTGTAATCACTTCCGCAAGTACTAAATGACTTTGGAAAGAGAGCTGAATCACTCTAGGAAAGTTTGAAATCTCTTCAAAAAGTACTGATTCACTTCAGAAAAGCTCGGAATCTCTTCGGATAACATTGAATCACTTCATAAATGTTTGGAATCACTTCAGAAGTACTGAAGCGCTTCAGAAAGTTCATAATCACTTAGGAAACAACTGAATAATTTTAGAAAATACTGACACAATTCAGTTAAGCTCGGAAATTCTTCGGATAGTATTGAATGACTTAAGAAAAATCCTGAAAAATCTCTTTGAAAAATACTTAGTCTTTCCATAAGGTTTATACCCGCTTCCGTAAGATCTGAATAATTTTGGAAAGGACTGCATAATTTCACAAAACTTCGGAAAGTACTCTATCAATTCTTTGAAGTTTGCAATCATTTCCTCAAGAACTGTATCACTTTGTTATAATTGAATTACTTCAGAAAATATGTAATCACTTCTGAAATATTGAAATCACTTGGGGAGCACAAAATCATTTAAAAAAGTTAGAAATTGAAACCAGTTTTAAAACTACTGAATTACTAAAGAAAAGCTTCAGAAAGTACTGAATCACTTCAGATAGTACGGACATAATTTAGCATGAGAATGATTAACCACTCGTCGTTGCTACTCCGTTATTGCCAGATGTATTATACAGAGAAGCAACAAACGATGCATAAGGCTTGTATCTGCAATGTGTAAAAACTGGTGATCTCATACTTTACGATAGGCAATAACAACGTTCAAATGTATGTCAATTTGGGAATGGATAGGAATGTGTTGACGTTATTATCGCTTTGATGGAAACCGAGAAATCTTCCTGACTTCCACGAATTTTTCAATATTCAACAGGATTTACTTAAGGAAGTATTATTTCTTATCGCTAAGCCATATTAGTACTCAATTGTGAAAAATCGATTTTGGTAACATAGATGTAGTACAGTCATCTCTCCATAACTCGATGTCCACTAACTTGATATCGAGTTATAGAGCCATAGTAAAAATGAATGTCATGGCTACTACGATAGCACATTTACATGAGATT